TTAGTATAATTGGAATATAAAATGCTTAATGTTTAAAAAAAACATAAAATTATACACATGCAGAAACCAAAGTAAGACCATTTGGTTTATCCTGATTTTTTTGTGTGTACAAATTGATACCAGAAAATTTTAATCCAATATAAATCAAAATGTCAATCTTATAACCTATTCAAAATTTCTGCCTACACTTCCCTCAGTTCTGATCCTTGTTTCAACAGACCAGCAGTAAGGAAGTGAGGCAACCCTCCACCCTCAGGAAACAGAGATTAGAAGAAAAGGGCAAAGTTTTTCTGGCTGGTTTTTATCTGGCCATTATTTTGTGTGTACACTTGGCTAGGCAAACAGTCCCCCGTTACTCAAACACTAATCAGATGTTGCTTTGAGGGTATTTTGTAGATGTGATTAAAATCTACAACCAGGTGACTTTAAGTAAGAGAGACTTTCATAGATAATTTGGGTGGGTTCCATTCAATTGATGAAAGGTCTTACGAGCAGAGTTGAAGCTTCCCTGGTGAAACAGAAATTCCACCTGTGGACAGCAGCTTCAGCCCCTGCTGGAGATGCTAGTCTGCCCTTCCTGACAGCCTGCCCTCTGGATTTTGGACTTGCCTAGCGAACTCCACAACTGCATAAGCCAACTCCATTCAATCAATTTCTTAACATATATTTCCTACTGAATCCGCTTCTCTTGTTGAATCCTGACTGATACAATACCCACATACTAATTATTTCTCAGGGGACACTTCTGTGGGTTTTAGGAGATCCCAGACACAGATCAATATGTGGTAGGCAGTTAGACAGACATGAGAGCAAGGATGATGGGACAGATACAGAAGGGTCACCAGGGCAGAGAGCCCTGGATGCCTGATAAAGTACAATTGTAGGGTAGGACCTTGTCCCCAGGATGACCTTTCCTCCCCTAGACAGGAAGTAAGACTCTGTATCCAGCAAGCAGTGCCCAAGCTCTCCTATGTGTCCTCTAGCTTCCCTTTTCACTTGGCTTGTGGGGTAGGGGTGGGGCGGGGAACACTCCAACCAGCTCTTCCACCACAAATTCTTTCAAAGAATCTGCCTCTGGCCCAGCCAGCATGGCTCAGTGGTTGAGCATCAACCTATGAACCAGGAGGTCACTGTTTGATTCCCCGGGCAGGGCATATGCCTGGGTTGCAGGCTTGATCCCCAGTGTGGTGCATGCAGGAGGCAGCCAATCAATGATTCTCTCTCATCATTAATGTTTCATCTCTCTCTCCCTCTACCTTCCTCTCTGAAATAAAAATATATTTTAAAAAACAAACAACAAAAAACAACTGCTTTTAATTTTTTAAAAAACAACAACAAAAACAAAGGAATTTGCCTCTGTAATCAGTCTTTATTTTGCTCTTATATGCGCTGTTGGTAAATGTCCCTAAATCAGTTTGGAAAGGCCTATGGGGAGTGTCTAAGGACTCTCTGTACAACATGAGACTTCTCATCACCTCCAGTGGAGGCTCCAGCCCCGGTTGGGTGCATCTGGAAGGCAACCAATCAATGTGTCTCTTTCACATCTATGTTTCTCTCTCTGTCTCTCCCCTTCCCTTCCACTCTCTCAAAAAAGCAATGGAAAAAATATCCTCAGGTGAGGATTAACAACAACAAAAATAGCTCCTTGACTAGATAGTGGTGATGGTTGCAAAACACTATGAAAATAATTAATGTCACTGAATTATACACCTAAAAATGGTCAAAATAATAAATTTTATGTCATGTATATTTTACCACACACAAAAAAATGGCTCCTTTGAGTCCTGTGCCATCTGTCCCAGACTCTGCTCCTTCTTGTCATTATTGTCCTCACACCTGCTCCCTCCCTCACAATAATCCGGGACCTTGGTCCAGAACTCAGAATACTTCTCAATTCCAAGTTAGACCTACACTCAAAACAGCAGAAATGAATTTATGATTAAAATGTGAAACAAAATAATAATAATAATAATATAAACTTACTTGAAAGAAAGTTTGGAATATGTATGTCTGATCCTAGGTAGGAGATTCTATGGGGAATACCAGAATCCACAATGGGGGCAGCAGGGGAGTGTGAGAGATTGACTTTACTAAAACTTAAAATACATGAATAAAAAAGTCTCCATAATGTCTAAAAACAAATAATAGAAGGAAATTACTTGCAACAACAGGTAATTCAGAGGAAAATACAAATAACTTGAGAAGATACTCAAACAAACTAGCAGTTAGTAAAACACAGTTGGGACATACCATGCCCCTCTCCCGTATGCAATAATAATAAGCCAAAATTTAAAACTGAGAACATATGGAACTGAGAAGGGGGGTAGGATCAGTATTCTCATCCATTGCTTCTGTCTTTTCACAAAGTAATCTGGTAGTATCTGGTAACATTTTTAACTTGGCATACATTTTAGGAATCTATCATAGAGAAATGGGCCATAATGAACAGAAATGTTCACTGTAGTACTTATTTCACCGTCTAATATACTATTACTCCCAAATCTTTTTCTATCCAGCATATTCTTCACTTCAGTATCCCCTACAGCTTATTACAACTAGTCTGACATAGGTTGCTGCCAACAGTCCTGCAATAGTGACAACTGAAGTCACTAAAAATGTAGGGCCTCTTGCTTCATCTGAGCTCTCAGTGCTGACCAGCAAAACTGCCTCTAACCAGATGTCTCATTTCCCTTTGTGGAAATTCCAAACTTCTGACTTCCATACATCCCAAACCTATCACTTCCTCCTCCATTCTTACAATGTGACCTTGTCTTTTATTTCTCGGAGAAAATGGAGTTCACCAGGCAAGAACAATCTACATCAGTGGTTCTCAACCTTCCTAATGCCGCGGCCCTTTAATACGGTTCCTCATGTTGTGGTGACCCTCAACCATAAAATTGTTTCCGTTGCTACTTCATAACTGTAATTTTGCTACTGTTATGAATCGTAATGTAGATATCTGATATGCAGGATGTATTTTCATTGTTACAAATTGAACATAATTAAAGTATAGTGATTAATCACAAAAACAATATGTAATTATATATGTGTTTTCCGATGTTCTTAGGCGACCCCTGTGAAAGGGTCGTTTGACCCCCAAAGGGGTCGCGACCCACAGGTTGAGAACCGCTGGTCTACATTTTCTTCCCTATCACTTTCAAACGTATCATAGACACTTCTCCAAAGTGGACATACAGATGGCCAAGGGACATATGAAAAAATGCTCAAAGTCACTAGTCATCTGAGAGATGCCAATCAAAACAACAATGAGATATCACCTCACACCTGTCAGAATGGTGTGACAAATCAACAAATCAACAAATGACAAGTGCTGGCGAGGATGGGGAGAAAAAGGAACCCTAGTATACTGCTGCTCAGAATGCAGACTGGTGCGGCCACTATGGAAAACAGTATGGAGTTTCCTCAAAAAATTAAATATGGAACTTCCATTTGACCCAGTGATCCCACTGCAGGAATATATCCTAAGAAACCTAAAACACATATCAGAAAGAATATATGCACCTCTATGCTCAGAGCAGCACAATTTACAAAAGCTAAGATTTGGAAACAGCCTAAGTGCCCATCAGATGAGCAGATAAAAAAAAAAGCTGTGGTATATTTACACAATGGAATACTAGGCGGCAATAAAAAAAGAAAGAACGCTTACCATTTGCAGCAGCATGGATGGACCTGGAGAGTATTATGCTAAGTGAAATAAGCCAGTCGGAGAAAGATAAGCATCACATGATCTCACTCATATGTGGAATCTAAGGAACCAAATAAACCGATGATCAAAAACAGATCCAACGCATGAACAGACTGTTGAACCTCAGAGGGAAGGCAGGGGAGGGTGGGTTGGATGAGATCAACCAATGAACTTGTGTGCATATAAACATAACCCTAGAACACAGACAATGGGGAGGTGAAGGCCTGGGAAGGAGGGCGGGAAGCGGGGAGGATTTGGCTGGAAGAGTTCATGGGGGGAAAGGAGGACCTATGTAATACTTTCAACAATAAAGATTTTTTAAAAGAAAAAAATCAGGCCAGTAGAGCCATGTACAAGCAGTGAGCGGGCATCTCGGAGTGAAGAATTCTGAAGAGAGTGAGCCCAGGCAGTCACGGGAGCGACAGCATTTGAACTGAGTTCTGGGAACCAGTGGGACTCCAACAGGCGGCTAATAACACTGAGGGAAACCGCAAAGGATCTTAGCAAAGGCACAGAGACTAAAAACGCGTTCCTTGCTCTTTAGGACACCGGAAGTGCGCACAGGATGGACAAACGTGGGTTGAGGATGCAGAAGAAACCTTGCGAACAGAAGTGATTGCAGAGTGTTTGCCACGCAAAATGCCAGGAGACGGGAAGGGAATGCTAAAGATAAGAGTAACAAAATAACAGCACACCCCAAGGTACTCAACTGTAGAAAGGAAAGAACAAAGCTGTCGCTAAGAAAGCCAGAACGGCCACGAGGCAATCACTCCTCACAGCTTCTAGGCACCAACACTGGTGACAGCGAGACTCCAGGCCGGCAGACGGCGAAACAGCGCCTCCCGCAGGCGGCCAATCACCTGGGGAAGAACCGCGAGGACGAGACCTGGAATGGGAACTACAACTCCCACTAAGGCCTGGAGCACGGGGCCCCACCGTACTTCCGCTTCCGCCCTCACACGTGCTTTCTTCAAGCCGACCCACCCGGAAGCGGGCCGGGCATGTGATCGCGCGTGACCACACGTGACGAACGACGAGCGTGTTTTTCCGCTCCGCCCCCCGCCCCTCGCCCCCCCAGCGGAGAAGCCCGGAGGCGGGACTCTGGGACCCATTGGTAGAAAGGCAACCCGAAAAGGTGGAACTAAACTTGAAAATCTCGATAGTGATTGGAGTTGATAGGACAAGGGCGGAGCCTGACGCCCAGGATACTGTCCAATCAGCGTCCAGGATGGTCAGGGAGGGGAAAGGTGGTGAGAAGGTTCCGTGGTCACCAGCCGCGGGGTCTAGTGGGAGGAGCAGTTGCCCAGCTGCCGCCCGGCGCTTCCTGTTTCCGGTTCCCGGAGTGGAGCACCGCGAGGCGCCGTGGGGAACGCTGGCGGTGACAAGCTCCCTGGGACCGGGGTCTGCGGCTGGCCCCTCGCTGGCCCTGTCTCCCAGCCCCAGGCAGGGACTCCCCTTGGGAGTCTGAACTTTGACCACTCCCTTTGCCCACGACACGTGAGTATGAGGGGTTGGTGAGCGCTCACATCCCGGCGTCGTGTGACAGGGGCCGGGACCACCAGGTCTCCCTTGTCCAGGGTTCTAGCCCCAGATACAGCTAAGGAGCCCTTGAGCAGCGTGGAGGCGTCGGCGAGAGGGCAGGAGTCGCGGAGTCGGAAGGGAGTGATGGGAAGGGACCCCCCGCGACCATGGAGGGACTGTCCGTGTGTTTGGGAGGCGGGGAGAGGAAAGTCCCCCGGTGTGGGGTGCGCCTGAGGAGTTACCGGAATCTTGGCCTGCATGGCGAGGCGGGTAGAGTAGCAGCATTGGCCCTCGGCAGTTGGAAAGTTGGGGAAACTAGGGTTCCCAGGCCCCTGGAGAAGTCTGAGCGGCGATGCGTGTGCGGCGTGGGGAAGGGGAGCCAGGCCGGAGGCTGCTCGCGTTTCTCTGTGTCGCGCGCGAGCCTCTGCCCTGAGGCGCAGAGCTGCTCGTACTCGGGCTCTTGAGCGCGGGCCCTTCTCGCTCACTGGGCTGCTCCTCTGAAAGCGGAGGGTGCAGCGGGCGGGCGGGAAGGACGGGTGTGGACATGAGCCATGAGTCAGGGAGACGGCAGTGGAAATGTCGTTGAGAAAATGGAACTCGTGGCTGGTCCTGGGTGAGGAAGACTCCGTGATGGGAACGAACTGCTCCCCAGTTCCTGGTTTAGTTCTTGATCATGCCGCTGACGAAGATCTGTTTAGCATGGCCAGGTAGAGCTGTCATATAATGAGAAAACGGAAGGGAACTTTTCAAAAATCTGCAGTCCTGCCCCCACGCTTCCAAAATACCCAGACACACCGGCACCTTGAGGATCTAATTGTAGCGCATTAAAGGGGGGCCGCCTGGCCCTTGGATGTCATGCTCTTCCTGATACCTTTTTGCACCCCCGTGTTTATCAGAAAATGTCCAGCAACTAACTGCCTTTATGCCGTGAACCGCCCAAATTACCCCAGTAACTTCGCAGGTATGTAATACTTGTAAATAACCTATGGGCAAGGAACGTAACCTCTGTAAAGCATCAGTTTCCTCGTTTTTAAGATGGGAGAAGTTATATCTACTTTCCTGGGTTGTGAAGATTAAGGAACATAATCGCGATAAAGCACTCAGCACATGTCACCGAATCGGAGAGAACAGCTCAGCCCAGCATGTAGTCGAACCTCAGGCGAAGAAGGAGGAGGATGTAAATGGATTCTCATCCTAACTTTTTGAACCAATGAACAAGCGAAAGCTCGTTCAACTCAGCTAGTGCTGAGGGCAGGGCGGTTGGCCTGTCATCCTTTCCCAGTTTTGTGAGATTCCTTGTTCTCATCTGGGAAAAGAAGTCAACTGTTAACAGACGAGGAACTGACTTTGAGGCCAAAGAACACAGCTTTCTGTTTGAACATCCCTCTAGGAAAACTGGGTCCTGAGAAGAAAAATCTTGCAAGCCTAGCATGTTGAACCTTTAAATTAGGTCTTTAGAGAATATAAGGAAAATGGCATGCTAAAGCAATCTAATAAGAGATATCTTTTGTTTCTCTTTAGTAACTCAGCCGGTCATGTTGGGTGTTGAGCAATGCGTTAATTTAGGGAAGGTAGGAGTTTGAGGTCTGAGTTCTTTATTCCACCTCCTGTACAGTGAACTGTGTGAGGCCTCACTACCCCTTCCCGTTCCTCTTCTTGCTTTGTCAAAAAGAAAGCAAAGCTTTGGCTGCCTTCTCTGATCCCACACAAAAACTGATGTGAAAGGAGACAGGTCTGCATATAGCAATTAAATATAGACCGTCAGCTCTGAGGGCAGACTTACCTGGTTCACGCTACTGTCTCTGTCTTCTCATCTGTAAAATAGGGACAGTAATTGAATTTACTGCATAGGGCTTTTGTAAGGATTAATTAATGTATGTGAGGTGCTTCAAACAGTGCCTGGCAGAAGGCAAGCACTCAGACTGTTTCCTGTTGCTGCCTTCAATGCGTTTATGGGACCCTCGGTCTTTATAGCTGGCTATAAATAGTCTGTGGAAACACCTTATTAATATCACGGTAGTGAATTAATGTTTGGAGCACACAAAGTCAGGGAGACAACTTTCCATGCATTTGTGGTCCTAGTGGAGTATGGGAAACAGTAGGTCAAATGTAAACTTGTTCAGGGGAGTGGAGAAAATTCATTCAGAGCTCAGAGCTTCCATTTTCCTATCTTTAAACTTATTGGTACACCTTAAATTCTGCCTATTTTCAAGATTTTTATTCTAAAAATGCAATGAAGGTAGTGGGCAAGCATGGAAAAGAATTAGAGGACTTTAAAGAGTATTGGAACCAAAGTCCAGACTTGTAATATTGGAAGCATTTTATTATAAATGAGAAAGACTTGAAAGAATTAAATTTTTGTATCAGAAAAATTAATGATAGTGCTATGAAATTAACAAATAGCAGTGGCCTAAAGGGTCATTAATGATACCAGAGTGAAGTCTTTTTTACAAGGGTAAATCAGTGTGTCCTAGGTATGAAGATAGATAAAATGAGTTTGGGAAACAGAGCCTCATGTTTCTATTGTAGAGCAGTACAAGCAACAAGTCGATTGGATTTACTAAGTTATAAAGTGACTTGTCGACCCCCAAGGATTGTCAGGAATGTGGAGTGTAGAAAGATAACTGTACTTACTGGAAATCTAGAAACTCTTGAAATTTGTGACTTGTATAGCTTAAGTTGAGTTTTGGAAGACTTCTTCAAACTACTCATTTTCACCTAATGAATGTTCTTCGTATCTATATATATAAAAGCCTAAGTGACCCTTAATACCGAACGACCAGTCACTGTGATGCGCACTGACCACCAGGGGGCAGATGCTCAACGCAGGAGCTGCCCCCTGGTGGTCAGTGTGCTCCCACAGGGGGAGCGCTGCTCAGCCAGAAGCCGGGCTCATGGCTGGCGAGCGCAGCGGTGGTGGCAGGGGCCTCTCCTGCCTCCACTACAGCACTGAGGACCCCTCGGGGGATGTCCGCCTGCCAGCTTAGCACGGAGCAGGCTGGGCTGAGGGGACCCTCCCCCCCCCCCCCAACCCAGTGCACGAATGTTGTGCACTGAGCCTCTGGTATCAGTATAAGACAGGGCCCAAAGTACTGAGTCTCTTTCTTTTATATCTTTCTTCATAGCTTTCAAACAGACCCTTTCAAGTGTTAAAGTGTAATTTGAGTGTTACAGACCCTATCAAGTGTCAGATTATAATTTCAGTGTTATCTTAGGGAGGGCACTGGTTTAAGTAATATTTATGAACTCTAGCCCCTGCACACACTTCTCAGCTGTTCATTTTCTATGTGTTTTTTTTTTTAATACATTTTATTGATTTTTTACAGAGAGGACGGGAGAGGGATAGAGAGCCAGAAACATTGATGAGAGAGAAACATCGATCAGCTGCCTCCTGCACGCCCCCTACTGGGGATGTGCCCGCAACCAAGGTACATGCCCTTGACCAGAATCGAACCTGGGACCTTTCAGTCTGCAGGCCGACGCTCTATCCACTGAGCCAAACCGGTTCTGGCCATTTTCTATGTTTATGGCAAGTTCCAGGCAGAGCCCCCATCCCTCTGGCCTCAACCTCTTCCCTTTAAATATGTGGCCAGCAAAACTTGTTTGATCCTGCCAGGAGCATATTCTGGTGTTAAAGATTAAATCTTACATGGCTGATATAGTGGAACTGCGCAAAGTTTAAAGTATTAAACTTTAACTGAGATACCGCAATCTAACTTCACCGAACAGTAAAGAGGCAAGGATGTCTCTACTCAGGCTGTCAGAATTCTTTTTACTTTCTGACTGAATTAGACTGAAGGCTATATATGCGAGCTTCCTGATGCAGTTGCTTTTGGCAAAGAGCTATTAAAATCTATTTGTTGCATATGTCAAAGACTCTTACACTTTCTGCATAATCGAAATATCATTCATTGGTAGTACATAAGTATTCTGTACCTTTTTGGTCCTTCTGACAGTTTCTAGAACAAAATATGTGTCTTTTTTCCCAGTAGAACTGAGGAGTTGGTAAACTGCTTTGGAAGTTTAGATATTCTTTTTTAAGCACACCTTGCAGAAATTATCAACAACAGCCTGTAGACAGTAACTCTTCATCAAGGCCAGCACTGTCCTCTTTGCTGAATGTACATTGTGTCCCTGTCCTGAAGGGGCACAGGAAGGACAGCAGGTGAGCAATGGTGTCAGCTAGAAAGAGGCTTTCAAAATAAGTTTGGGGGGGATGAGGAGGGGAGGGAAGAAGCCTAGAGACCTAAGAATCCAATTCAGAATATTAGGAGACAGGAAAATAATAACTTGGATGACAGCTAAAAGTTTGAAATAGGCAGATACAAGAAACAAAACCAAATTCACAATAATGAAGAAAACCGGCTATTGTAAAATATGAGGTGATAGGTGGAAGATGAAAAGGTTTTAAAAAATACCTTTCATTTAGTACACATTCATATGCTTTATCTCTTTCCCTTCTCTTCTGATCCTCCCCCCTTCTCCCAGCATATACACTTTCTCCCAAAAGGATGTCCCCCTTCTACAGCTGCTGGGGGACTGGACCACTGCTGCTGCTCCTCCTGGCCATCACGGTAAGAGAATCCTGGCAGGCAGAAGAAAAAACCTGCGACCTGGTAGGAGAAAAGGGCAGAGAATCAGAGAGAGAGTTGGCTGTACTGAAGAGGATGACACCCCTGTTTAACAAAAGGTAAAAATGAGAAGAACCTTAAAGAGCTAGAGAAAATCATTGTTTTTCCACCTCGCCTCTCCAGACAACCTCTGGTACCCCCACCTCCACAGACCCAGCTCTCCAACTTCAGATAGTCCCCAGATCCGGACCCCAGGACCCGACAGACCCCAAACTCCCCCACCCCACCCGCAGTACCCCGGGCCCCAGGGGCTCTTGGAGGGAGGTGGTTAGAGGTGATACTCACCAGAGAAGGGCTTTTTTATTGTTATCCTCACCCCAGTATATTTTTTCCATTGATTTGTAGAGAATTGAAGGGAGGGAGTGGAGAGAGAGAAAGCAACATCGATGTGAGAGACACATCGATTGGTTGCCTCCCGCAAGTGCCCTGATGCACGCATGCCCTGAAGGGAGTTGGGGGTCGAACCTGCAACTTAGGTATGTGCCCTTGACGGGGAATCGAACCCAAGACCTTTCAGTGTGTGAGTCAGTGCTCTAACCACTGAGAAACACCAACCAGGGCAAAGAAGGGCTTTTTTAAAAGAATCTTTTTCAACTCTTACTGATTTTATTTTGGCATTACTATTGAATATGGAGGGGATACATGTATAATAAGCTCCTCTCTATCTTTATCTGGGATAGCTGGTGCTATCATGCTTGCTTTTATGATACAGAGCAAATCCTCACCCAGTTTTTAGTAGCATTGTGCATTTCTCTAATGCAGAAGAGCAGTGCTTCTAAGGCTGGATCCAAGAGACCAGCTTGTAGGAATCTAAAAAGCATTATTAAATGCTTTCATGAAATAGGACTTTAGAAGTATCAGATAACCATAATTATCCCTATACACATCATCATCAGTGTCAAGAATCTTCAGGTATATAAATCTGAAGATGACCTTTAAGGAACAAGGGAGTATCCCAAGAACATAGACCCTTATTCACAGGGAAATGGTAGCTAACACTTTAGCATAGTCTAGAGCAGAGATAGTCTAGGAATATCTAACTGTCTGGATGGCGTATTTTAATCAGTGATCATCAACAATTAGGATGGACTGTCCTAATTGATGAGACATTAAAGTAGATAATGCCAAGTCTTAGGTACTGTGGCTCTTTTCTCTCTATTCATCATTCTTCTGGTGAATATGCAGCAAGGCTGTCAGGGTCATTGTTTCATGATTCAGCAAATATTCACTATTACATTTAGCCATGACATCAGATAAATTGAATGCACCTTTTTGGGGGTCAGAGGTTGGGGGGTAAAAGGAAAAAGGGTTCATAGCTAGTAACTCTTCTCTTCTTCTTTCTCCTCCCTTCCTGACAGCTTTGAGAGCACTGTGGGCCAGGGGCAAGACACGTATATGTACAGATTCAGGGTGTGCAGGGAAGCTGGTAACCACTCCTCCGGGGCAGGCTTGGTGCAGATCAACAAAAGTAACGGGAAGGAGACAGTAGTGGGGAGAATCAACGAGACTCACATCTTCAATGGAAGTAAGACTCTCACTGTTGACTGATTAATTGATCCCAAATCAGTCTCTCAGGCAATCCTATATGTCCCTCCCCGTCTCTTCAGAATATCATATGGTATGTGTGGTTCAGCATACCTCAGACTATAAACCACAGGGTACCTAGTCCCACAGCTCAGCTCCTCTGGAGCCAGGGCTCAGGACATTTATGTGTTTGTTTTAAAGTTAGGGAAAAGCTTAGGCAAAAAAAGAAGAATTTAGTGGAATTATATAGCCTGGAGTCCTTTTAATACTTAATGCGTATTTCATGCTAGGCTTGAAAATATCAACCACGGCCTTTTCTCATCAGATTAATCAAACTTTGCCAGTTAAGTTATAAGAGATCAAGTTTTGCCAACCAGTCTACAAAAATTTCTCCGCCAACTTGTGATAATGATGGTGATAACATTTCTCAAAAGTCAAAGTCTTATTGCTGGAAAAGATTACATGAGCACCTATAATCTAATTCTTTCCCTTAAGGTAGGGGTGGGGGAACCTTTTTTCTGCCAAGGGCCATTTGGATATTTATAATATCATTTGCAGGCCATTATCAATTTAAAAGTTAGCCTCCTATATTTGGTCAAACATTTAATTAAGTCACCCCTAAAGCCTTGATGGGGCCAGACCAAATGATTTCCCTGCCCTTATGCAGCCCTCAAGCCAGGCGTTCCCCACCCCTGTCTTAAGCAGATAAATTATCCCCCCAGTGCTATTTGCTAAATAATATAAATGACAAAAGACTAGGTTTTGACTCGTATCATATTGACTTTAGTGACTGAGAAATCTTTTCACCTTTTTTTACTGTTTTCATATATGCAAAATTGGAAGCAGAATCCTTACCTTATTGAGCTTACATGACTTTTTGAATCAAATATTTTGCAAAAGAAATTTGAACACAGTAAATACTGGAAAAAGAAAAAAAAGAAGAAGAAGAAGAAATGCCTCCCAATCTTAAAAAACATCCACTTTGAACTAATCTGTGGCTAATTTAAATCTTGGGCTTTCTCCACCACCCACTAATTGTAAGGGGCCGCTTCCTTTGATGTTAGCAGGTGGTCAGCAAATGTGCACCATTGTTAAGAAATGAATCACAATTAGTTTTGCACTATCAGGAGCCTACTTCTAATGTGGAAAATTAAGATTTTTTAAAATTTTTTTTTTACATTTTTGTTGATTTCAGAAAGGAAGGGAGAGGGATAGAGAGATAGAAACATCAATGATGAGAGAGAATCACTGATCGGCTGCCTCCTGCACACTCCCTACTGGGGATCGAGCCTGCAACCCAGGCATGTGCCCTTGGCCGGAATTGAACCTGGGACCCTTCAGTCCGCAGCCGATGCTCTGTCCACTGAGCCAAACTGGCTAAGGTGAAAATTAAGATTCTTGTATGAATATTTGATTCTTAGTTGTCAAAGCAAGGGAACATAAAGCCAAATTTTAGCTTGGCATTTCCAGTATACAGAGTTCATACTGATGAGGGTTATTTTAATTAAAACCAATTTGTCTGAATGTCCCAATTCCATCTTACCACAGTATCCAGGTCTGCCTCTACTTTTCCCCCACCCCCAAAGCTCCATTTTCCTTGTCCCTCCTCAGGTAATTGGATTATGCTGATCTATAAAGGGGGTGATGAATATGACAATCACTGTGGCAAGGAGCAGCGTCGTGCAGTGGTGATGATCTCCTGCAATCGACACACCCTAGCGGTGAGGCGCCCTGGGGCACATGAGCCTAAAGAGAGAAAAGGACTGACCTGAGGTGGGAGAGACTTTCCAGAGGGGACAGGATACTTTGGGATGGATTAGGGAAAACTCAAGGTTCAATTCCTCCCTGTATCTAGACACCCATCTTCAACATACATGGAAAATAGGCTATTGGACCAGGAAAACAAATGTTTTGGAGTTTAGTGGGGGTTTTTTCTTTATTTAGATGGAGTCAAAACATTTTAAATGTGTTTTGTCCTTTCATCATCAGGACAATTTTATCCCTGTATCTGAGGAGCGAGGCAAAGTCCAAGATTGTTTCTACCTCTTTGAGATGGAGAGTAGCCTGGCCTGTTCCCCAGAGGTCTCCCACCTCAGTGTGGGTTCTATCTTACTTGTCACGTAAGTACTCTTTTTTTCCCTTATCAGTCCAAGCCTTTCCCTTTTTTCTTTTTTTTTTTAAATCCTCACCTGAGTATGTTTTTAATGATTTTTAGAGAGAGGAGAAGAAAAAGAGAAACATCGATCGATTGCCTCCCACACAAGCCCCAACCCCGGGGATCAAACCCACAACTTGGGTATGTGCCCTGACTGGGACGACACTCCAACTGAGCTGCACCAGCCAGGGCTCCCTTTTTTTTTTAACTCATAATTTCTTGGATGCGTATGGGCATAAGCTGTGTGTGTGTGTGTGTGTGTGTGTGTGTGTGTGTGTGTGTGTGTCAGAGAGGGAGAGGGAGAGAGAGAATTGGAGGGTGAAGAACTTTGTGAGAAAATCCTCATTAACCTCTGACTATTCAAGTTTTTAAAAATGAGATTTGTTTTGTCCCCAATAAATATTCACATTTGAAGGTGCTTTTTTTTTTTCCCCCTACTGGAGGGCTGGACAGTTTTTAATACTATCCATTAGAATAGCAATTTTCAGCCAGTGTGCCATGTGATACACTTGTGTGCCACAAGAATTTTTAAAACATGCAATACCTGACTAATCAAGGGCACTGACCTCTTTTCCCTTAGATTAGCAAATAAAAAAAAGACAACAGCCCAGCTGGGGTGGCTCACTAGTGGAGCATTGACCTATGAACCAGGAGGTCATGATTCGACTCCCTGTCAGGGTATACTGGTATGCCCAGGTTTCAGGCTGGATCCCCAGTAGGAGGTATGCAGGAGGCAGCTGATCAGTGATTCTCTCTCATCATAATGTTTCTATCTCCCCCACTCCCTTCTTCTCTGAAATCAATAAAAAAAATAATAAATTATTTTTTTAAATGATGACAGCCACCCTATCTGATGTGGCTCAGTTGCTTGGAGCATCGTCCTGTGCACCAAAAGGTCATTCCGAAACCCGGTCAGGGCACATGCCCAGGTTTCAGGTTCCATCCCTGAAGGGGTGCATAGAGGAGGCAACCATCAATGTTTCTCTCTTTTTCTTTCCCTCTCCCTTCCTCTTTCTCTAAAATCAGGTTTTTTTTAGGTCTGGCCAGTGTGGCTCAGTTGGTTTCAGTATACACTGAAAGGTGGTGGGTTCAATTCCTGGTCAGGGCAAATACCTAGGTTGGAGGTTTGATCCCTGGTCAGGAGGCAACTGATTGATGTTTCTCTCTCCCTTCTCTTCCTCTCTCTAAATCAGTTTTTTTTTTTTTTAAATGTATCCTCAGTGAGGATTTTTTAAAAATTATTTTTAAGTTTTTTTAAAAATGAAACAACAAACACAGCATTAGTCCTCTGGTATGAATGAATCAAAATTATACCCCTTTTTTTGGTCAGATTTGCAAAAAATACATTTTCTGGTGTGCTGCAGAATTTTAGTAATAGCTGTGTGTTCCATGAGATGGTTAAAAATTGCTGCATTAGATTAGAACTTTTGGACAGACAGAATCATGTATCTAAGAGTGACTGTTGGCAGAAGTCAGTCATTTTTTTTTTGTGAGCAGTTTGCTTTTCTCAGACTGACAGTGCTCCAATTAGTTTTCTAGGGAAGCTACCCAGCCCCTTTTCATTTAATTTCACTACATTTTCCCCCTTCTTTTTACAAAACACAGCTTACGAAACAGCTAACAATGAGAACAGAGATTATCCTTAGTACCTGAGTTTTACTATTTCTTGGTTTTTAAGTACAGCTCTTTCTTCAACAGGTTTGCATCACTGGTTGCTGTCTATATCATCGGGGGGTTCCTATACCAGCGATTGGTGGTGGGAGCCAAGGGAATGGAGCAGTTTCCCCACTTAGCCTTCTGGCAGGATGTTGGCAACCTGGTAGCAGTAAGTAACAGGGCAGCTGGCCGGGCCTGTAGCCTGCATACAAGGTTGAGTGACCAGCCACCTGGTTTGCCCAGACTGAGGTTTCCTGAGACACAGGACTTGGATGCTAAAACCACAAAAGGGCCCAGCAAGTCAGTTGGTTGCCCCTAGTACTAAGTAGTATAGCCTCTTACTGTCCGGCCTTGCGAAGACTTGGCTGGAAGAGCAACGCTGTTGCTTAGATTTAAGAATCTGATAAAGCTGTTCATGGGCCTAGATAGGAAGAAGGTGAGACCTAATTAGAACTTTTCTCCTGTTCCCTCCACATTCAATTTAGGCTGATCCTTGGAGCTTTGAGGGCTTCTCTTCATTATGCCTGGAGAACACTAGTGCTTGCCACATTCTTAGACCATAAATATGCTCTGCCTTACCCTAAAGTTGGTTATTCCAAATGACCATTTTCTTCCTTTGTTTCTTTCCCTACAGGATGGTTGTGACTTTGTGTGCCGTTCTAAACCCCGAAATGTGCCTGCTACATATCGTGGTGTGGGGGATGATCAGCTGGGGGAGGATTCAGAAGAAAGGGATGATCATTTACTACCAATGTGAATGCACTTTATACGCCCAGCTTCTTCAGTCCCCCAAACCAAAGCATACTCAGCCAGATTTCTTAAGCAGTCTATTGCAGCCTCTCATCTCACCCTAAATGTTGCTCTTGCTTTCAATTTGCTTTTGGTTTACATCCTTTTCTCACTATAGAAATGCCTTCCCTTTGTTCCCTATTTTTGTTTTTCCCTCTAGAGAGGTACTATAATAAGGCCTGTGACAAAAGGCACTATGTCTTGGTATAGGAAGGTACATGTAGGACTAGTTATGAGCAAAAGCATGTGGCAGATTTGCTGGCCTTTTCAAACACATTTTCACAAGTTTTTGAGACACTGGAATTCTTTAATTAAAAAAAAAAAGGAAAGAAACATTATTTATACAAGGTTTGATTGCTTTCATGCTCATAGTCTCCATGAGAATTTGCATGTAAGTTCCTGCTGCTTGGAACTACTTTGCAGTCAATACTTGGTTGTAGTCCAAGTAGTCATTTGGTCTGAACCTGGGGATGTGGTGGACCTGCTTCTCCCACCTGTGGGGTTAGGATGGGAAAAAGTGAAATTTCCCAGGTAGAGGAGTATAAGGTACCATCACATCATTCATTGGCATTTTAGTAACTTTGTAGCTGGAACTGGCCCTCGATTGTGGTCTTGCAGTTACTAGTTCACATGTAGCCAAAATGCCTAACCCACAGGTCTGATCCTTAAACAGGGAAACTGAAAGTGATCTCTCCCACTTGGAGTAAAAGTTGGTAAAGCCTTTCTTACCAGTGTTTCTAAACAGGGAGCACTTTCTTCACAGGCTTGTCATTTTGACTTTATTTTTTCAATCTTCTGGAAAGGGAATGGAGGTAGAAGCAGGACATCTAGGGCTCTGCATTCTCTGCTCTAGGCGTGGAATCCTACTATGCCTGTCCCTGCTTCTGGCTCAGGGAAGTATCTTCTTGCCCACATTTCTGTGGGGAGTTTTTAATGCTCTCCACCTTTCTATTTAGGCCATGTGCCCAGAAACCTGGCCTGATCTTTATTTAATAGTGAACCTGTGCCATTGAAGAGTAACCTGGCTCCACGGGGCACCAGAGGATGGAATCAACAGGCAGGGGCCTTTTATAGCCTTAGAGGAGAAAATGATATTATTTCATCCTTGGACTTTTAAATACTGTTGGAATGACTTTTGTCTTTATAAACAGGGAAAATAATGTTACAGAAAACATCTTTTTGTTATTTGTTCGCACCCCTCCCCACACTCTAGTGTTTTAAAAATGAAAAAAAAAACCCTAACATTTTTGTACAAAAACACTTGAAAGATTAAAAAAAAAAAAAAAAATATTGGCCTAGTCATTTGTGTGAAAGAAGGTAGAGACTAAAGACACTGGATTAGAGTAAGAGACAACTGAGACCAATTTTTATCCTTTTACTGAAGAGGAAAAAAATATTGAATATTTTTGTTGTATAAGGAATAGCGCCTAAGGCAGGCATTTATCCTCCTGACCTCAGCTCCACACACTCCTGTTTTATAAAGCTATTGGACACAGCAGAGTTGGAACTAAAAAGGTAGAAGACATCAGATAAATTGGAAGGGAGTAGGGAGGATACAGGAAGAATGACAACAGCCACATGTGTGCCAAACACTTAGTTCCTGCAGCAAAACAAAATGATGCCAGCCAAGTGCCTACACCAGCTGGTGAGCCTGCCATGGATGGAGGAGAAAATGTTCAATAGGAAGGGAGTGGATGATGACAAAGAAAACGGCCATAGCTACAGTCCGACAATCCAGAGGGAGTATTGGATTTTACCGCTTGTGTCAAGCTAGAAGAACCCTCCTCCCATTGGGGAGGTACACCTACCTTCCACCCATTTCCTTGCCTTGCCACACTGTATCTTCTTGGAGAACTAAGACCCTGGCTACCCCACTCCAGAAAAAGGCTGAGCAGTACTAGTTCTCTGTAGAGTTCATTTTTATAAAGATTGGATTAGGGTAGGTGAAAATGGTAAGAACTATAAAGATTTTAGAAAATAAAGTAGAACCCAGAGAAAATGTCCAAGCTCCACCATGTAGCACCAGCAACCAATTCTTGCACATTCTTTCCCTGTCTTAGAAATCCCCTCCACAGATTTATGTAATTGGAAAAGTTATTTATTCCCTGTAAAGTCTGCGGGCACCAGGCAGGTTATAGCCTGGACAGTGGGGAGTGTCTGCCTTAGGCTGCTTTGTGCAAGAAGGCCACCTTAGGTCTCCTTGAGGACGTTGATCTTGGCGCAGATCTTGAGGGCTGGGCCCAGCTTGATGTTCATGGCACTCATAAGATGTTCCTCTTTAAGTAATAAAAGGGCCTGTCCATCAATCTCCTGGGAACGAAACTCCTCTGCAATCTCTTGACAGCCTAGAAGAAAATGGGAATATGTATGAGAAAGTGTAAGGTAGCACCATATAGGAGGGGGAAACTCGATGAAAAACATGCAAACGTAGCAATGGTTAATCCCAAAGTACGTATCCTAAATTCAGTAATATGAAGATTTGAGATGACAAGCTTTGGAAGAAAAGGAAATCGGCAACTGGCTATTTAAAAGAAAGCCAAGATCATGGAGGAACTAAGTTCCAACCAGAGAAATAACCTCATTCAAACAGCCTTAGGAGGGGAAAGGGTGGGGACAAAAATAAATGTTTTCTTTTACACTGGCAAGAAAAGTTCAAATGAGCCTTTGTGACACTTGTTTAAGAGCACAGAATTCAGACAAATAGCAAGAAGGGCAGGGAGATTTCTGGAGAAAACCATCCCTTTGTCAAGAACAGCTCATAAACATTCCTGCTTTGAAGAGAATGGGGCAATAATGGCCCCTTATTTTCTAATCCCCCTCTCCACTGAAAAAGTCTATCCATGGTAGGTGTCACAATCACATAAAAATGTGCTTTATCCAAAAATTAATGGTAAGAAAGCTGAGTCATACGAGATGAAATACATTGAAATTGCTGACATAACAGAGAATGACAATCCAGATGGAATTAGTAGACGAGCCTGTAGGCAAGTAACTTGAATAAATATCAAAAAAAGTACAGCCTTCAAGCCTCTACTGCTTAAAAGTCAGTTATGTTCCCTGTTCTCAAGGCCTGTGTGAAGAGCTCAGGAAAACTAAGTATATATGTGACCTGAGTTCTTTTGGATAGGCCCTCAGTACCTTGTAGAGAAGCGATAAACTCATACACCTCCTCTACACTCCAACGGCTGGGATTGCTGGACAGGAACACAGGGTTGATGCCGTGTAATTCTGGGGTAGGTGGAGCTGTATTGGGGTTCCCCAGGTCTCGATCTCCATGCCCCACTCTCACTGATAAAGGCCCAGGAGATGTTGGAGAGAGTGCTTCATCATAACTGGAATTATCTGAACCCCGGCTAGAGTCCTCTTGACCCTATAAAGAAAACCAAAAAACAGTGAGGTCATGAATAAGTTTCCTCTGCCCTCCCCAACGCCCCCTGGGTTTGGGTTCATATCGGGCATGGAGGAAAACTGAATCTCACCACAAGTGAGGTAATTTGTACTTCATTTGCAAATGTCCAGTCAGTCACCTGTCTACTCTCAAGTGCCTTTCAAGTATAAACTATCAACTCTTGATTCTCCCCTACCAATGATCTAGATTTTCCCTACTCAAATGTAATATAAGGATTAATGGATGTATAAACCAGTAATCAGAGGAGAGAAAAAAAAGTCAGGATCTTGGAATCTGGAGTAAGGCAATCAATGCAAAACCAGAGTTCTGATCTCACACTGTTTAGGCCCATTTTAACGGTGGCACTGGGACAGCAGCTCACCCGGTGTCGCTTGCCCTGGATCTTGGCACGGGCGATGTCAGAGGAGCTGCGGCGGGGTCCACGCCGACGAACACGAGCATAATTGGCTTCTTGAAACTCTTTCATTTTTTTCCTCTTCAGCCGAAACTGGTGGCTACAGCTCACATTATACCTACAGGTCAGGCACATGTAAGAGATCAAAAGTGCTACAGAAAACTACCTTGTTACCCTAAGCTTGTGAACTGGTATTTTAAGAGCTGATTTGGGGAAGACTATGAAAACAAAGGAGACACTCAAGTATCAGCTGTGAGATTGATGATCCTAGGGAAGGGCTATAATATTAGATGAAAAAACCACTGCTGAAAGTGAGGGGGAGTGCCCAGTACCTCTTAGCACAAGTCATGGAGCAGAATCTCTTGGAGCCTCGAAACTGGTCTGCAGGGGCGTACTTCCCACAGTATTCGCACTTCAGGAGATTCGCCTTCTTATCTAGCTCTGAAAAACAAGGCATCACTTGAAAGCTGCAAGGGTTTCTGCTGCTGCTCAAACCATCAGTAGGCTCAGAACTGGACTCTAATTACTCTCAGAATTTGCCCCCAAAGACCTACACCACCCTAAAACAAAGTTCGAATTCCAGAATCCCAAAGGCATGTTCATTTTAGTCTTCCTATCCTTAAGCTAGACTATTTCTATTTTGATTACAAATTTTATCCCAATCACACCCTCAGATTTCAGCCAAGACTGCATTTCTGAACAGGAGAGAGGAACTAATTACTAATGCCTAGAAAGATATCCCTCCCCCACAAAGTTCCCAAAAGCAGAAAGGAAATGTAAATAAGAGTCTTTAATATCCTATCTAATAAAAGAGAAACATGCAACTTGACCATATCCCCAAATGCTTCCCAGTGGCTAATCAGGGTGATATGCAAATTAACTGCCAACCAAGATGGCAGCTGGCAGCCAGGCAGCTGAAGCGAACAGGAGGCTTGCTTGCTCCAGTGATAGAGGAAGCCAAGTTTCACCGCCTGCCGCTGCCTGCCTCTGAGCTGCAGTCTAAGCAACTATGTTGCAATTATAGAAGCTAAACAAGCTCCAGAAACCTGCTTTCAACTAGCCTGCCTCGGAGCTTAGAGCGGCAGTGATGGCAACAGTATTTCAATTATAGAACCCAAACAACCCCAGATGCCTGCTTTCAGCAGCCGAGGCCTCAAGCTGGAGCCGGCCTCAGAGCTAAAGCCGGCTCTCAGTTCCAGTGACAGCCATAGAAGGTAAATAAATCCCAGAATAAAAAAAAAAAAGAAAAAAAGGAGAGGCTGGGAGCTTCAGTCACCAGCCAGCCTGAAAATGGCCCTCAGCCCCTCACCCAGACTGGCCAGGTACCCCAGTGGGGACCCCCACCCTGAAGGGGGTGCGGGCAGCCTAAAAACAGCCATCATCCCCTCATCCAGGCTGGCCAGGCACCCCAGTGGGGACCCCCACCCTGAAGGGGGTATGACCAGCTGCAAACAGCCATCATCCCATCATCCAGGCTGGCCAGGCACCCCAGTGGGGACCCCCCACCCTGATCCGGGACACCCTTCAGGGCAAACAAGCCGGCCCCCACGCGTGCACCAGGCTGCTAGCCTATATAGTAAAAAGGTAATATGCAAATTGACCCTAACAGCAGAAGGACTGGGAATGACTGGTCACTATGACACACACTGACCACCAGGGGGCAGACGCTCAATGCAGGAGCTGGCCCCTGGTGGTCAGTGCGCTCTCACAGGGGGGAGCTCTGCTCAGCCACAAGCCAGGTTGATGGCTGCCAGTACAGCAGTGGTGGTGGGAGCCTCTCCTGCCTCCTCAGCAGCGCTAAGGATGTCTGACTGCAGTTTAGGGCTGCTCCCTGCTGGCAGGTGGACATCCCCCAAGGGCTGCCGGGCTGCCAGAGGGATGTCTGATTGCCATCTTAGGCCCAATCCCCTGGGGAGCGGGCCTAAGCCAGCAGGTGGTCATCCCCTGAGGGGTCCCAGACTAAGAGAGGGCACAGGCCGGGCTGAGGGACTCCCCCCCTCACCCCCCGAGTGCACAAATTTTTGTGCACCGGGCCTCTAGTAGATTATAAAACCTAAAGAGAACTGGAGATTTAGAAATATCCTATTTTATTTAGATTATCTTTTGAAAAATATACCCTTATATTAAACTAGAGGCCTGGTGCACAAAATTTGTGCACTCACAGGATGGGGGGTCCCTCAGCCCAGCCTGCACCCTCTCGCAGTCCGGGAGCCCTCAGGGAATGTCCGACTGCCATGGAGGTGGGAGAGGCTCCCACTACCACCGCTGCGCTCACCAGCTATGAGCCCGGCTTCTGGCTGAGAGGTGCTCCCTCTGTTGAGTGCACTGACCACCAGGGGGCAGCTCCTGCATTTAGTGTGTGCCTCCTGGTGGTCAGTGCACATCATAGCGACCGGTCATTCCACCGTTTGGTCAATTTACATATTAGCCTTTTATTATATAAGATAATTTAACAGCTTACTTTAGCCTGATAAAAATCTCCCTAATCCTGTGGAATTCCTTTTGTGTGATTCTACATATTCTAGTATGTGATATAGTATGTGTGTCTGGATGGACATTATATAAGTCCCACTTTAAACTGATGATTACTATTTTATACTGAGTCTTCAAATACATCTGCATGAGCCTCCTTCCCCAGACAGGTCTCTAAGTAAATACTTACCAGCAGATGGGCTGTCCCCTCCCAAGGGGCCACATGACTGGTTCTCATTCAGCCCTGTCAGGAGGCCAGTCTGTAGAGGCTTCTCAGACTCTTTCAGTAACTGAGAACAACCCACCTGTCCCAGAAGAAGGTCACAGTTAAGTTAGCCTAATTCCTTTCTGCTTCTCCATAGCTTTCCCAGCGTTTCTCACCATTAAGTCTTTGCCTGGATTTCTAAGCTAATGGTCAAGTCTGTTTCAGAGAGAATCATTTTCAATACGGGAATCAAGAGTCTCTAAGAGGCTTTTTTCAGACAAACACTGGAGAACAGAGTCTTACCCTGGCTCCCTTTTTTGTCCTTTTCCTTCCTAAGTTGAGGGAATGCACTAGGAATCAGGATACCTATGTTCTAGTTTTGCAACTTGTGGTACTTAGAATAGTCCATTAACTTTCTACCACAATTTTCTTCACTATAAACCAAACCTAGTTTGTCTAACACAGGGGTCCTCAAACTATGGCCCTCGGGCCACATGCGGCAGCCAGCTGAAAACATTTATCCAGCCCGCCAGGTGTTTTTGCCGCCGCTGCCTGTTGCTTAGCAGCCGACTAGTTTTTTTTTGAACTATAGTCCGGCCCTCCAACGGTCTGAGGGACAGGGAACTGGCCCCCTGTTTAAAAAGTTTGAAGACCCCTGGTCTAATAAAATATTACAGCTTTCAAGGTCACCTCCTGCCTTTTCTTCTCTTCCCAAAATTTTCATTTTCTGATCCACATATTATTCTTTTTCCCTTCCTTTTACAACTCACCAAATGAACAGCAGAACTGAACCATTCTCTAGTAACTAACTAGTTCTGAGCCTTCTGATTTAGTGGCATTTGAAAAGGCAACAGTCAGTCTAAGTCCCCACTTGAAAGCCCCATCTTCCGGCCCTGCCCTCACCGGGAAAGGTTCTGCTCCTTCCTGGATGACGAAGCCTTCAATGATGTGGGTGAGAATCTGAGGCTTCACAATGGCCTGTGGGGGTTTTGAGTCGCCCATCTGTCTGGACACCATGGCTAGTGTAGGAGGTGGTGCTGATGGGGCAGGTGCCAAGGATATTAGTTCACTGTTTGGGGTATTAGCATTCACACTGGTCACTGATTCAACTTTCTCTGGAAAATAAACACAAATTAAGGAATAGATATGGGATAACGTAACTGACCCCTCTATTAGCCAAGCCAGCCTAATCTTCCACAATAATACATGTTCACCTTTTTTTTTTTTTCTTTTTTTCAGAGAGAGGAAGGGAGGAGAGAGGGATAGAAACATCAATGATGAAAATCATCGATCAGCTGCCTTTTGCATGCCCCCTACTGGGGATGGAGCGGCAACATGGGCATGTGCCCTGACCAGGATTCGAACCGTGACTCCTGGTTCATGGGTCCATGCTCAACCACTGAGCCACATCATCCAGGCTGCATGTTCACCTTTGCTCATTCACCCTGGATTCTGTTTTTTTCAATCTATTCATTTGTCCACCAACTGCAGGACCCATACTCTACAGAACCAGACTTATCTGTTAGCTCACTCACTCAGAACGTTAATCTCTGTGCACTCCAACAGCACTGCAGAAGACAGTCTCTCACCTCCAAAACTGCTCTTCTCCTCCATGACCTTTGGGCTCTCTGCTACCGGAGATGCCCTGGCAGGAAGCATTGAACCCAATGTGGAGACATCATCTCTTTCCTCCTCAGACTCAGCCTTGCGTTTCACACCCAATGTCTGGGGCTTGCCCTATAAGAAAAGAACAGAAAAGAAATCAAGAGTTTTAAGTAAAGGAAGATAAGGAACCATAAATACTCCATATTTTCTTTTTTTTTTTTTTTTAAATATATTTTATTGATTTTTTACAGAGAGGAAGGGAGAGAGATAGAGAGTTAGAAACATCAATGAGAGAGAAACATCGATCAGCTGCCTCCTGCACATCTTCTACTGGGGATATGCCCGCAACCCAGGCACATGCCCCTGACCGGAATCGAACCTGGGACCCCTCAGTCCGCAGGCTGACGCTCTATCCACTGAGCCAAACCGGTTTCGGCAATACTCCGTATTTTCAGATAAAGTTTCCTTAGTTCCAGATTCCCCAATTTGTATATTTCTCATGGTACATTAAAATTCCTGGTCATTCCCAAGAGGTGTAACTTCCACCTCAGGACAAAAGAAAATGCAACGTTCATTAGTCCTGACATAGACCTTGAGACCCTGGATTCATTATGGCCCAACTAAGAACTGTTGTTTTCTAAAGATTATTTAGGTGGTTACAGCTATCTTGATCAAACCCAGTACAGATCCAAAAACCCAGAATGACTTCAGTAGCAGATTTAGGAGTATGAAGTTCAGACATTATATACATTAACATCGCTCTCTCTTACAAAAAGAATATTAGTATCTTAAGTTTCCATTAATCTCTCACAAAGGAACAAATAAAAACCTTCTAAACTCTTCATTCCCCTACTATGTGAAGCTCTAATTCTACTCAGCCACAGGTCCACTCTTAAGAGTGACAGTAGCCCCGCTGGCTGGGTTGCTCAGTAGGTTAGAGTGTCAACCTGACAAGCCAAGGTTGTGGGTTCAATCCCTGGTCAGGGCACATAGAAGAAGCAACCAATGAATGCATAAATAAGTGTAGCAACATATCCCTATCTCTCTAAAGTCAATCAATCAATTTTTTTTAATTAAAAAAAGAGAGTGACAGCACCCTCAAAACCATCAGACGTCACTCACCGGCAGGTGCACAGACTGCATGTAGAAGGCAGCAGGGACCTGGGCTACAACAGGTGAGGAGGCGGTAGCCCCACCCTTTACTACATGTGCTGTCCCCTGCACAGGAGCAAGGGTCATCCCAGAGGTCAGTGTGGAAGGGCACTCCTGCAGTGCACCAGGAGCCTGGGATGATGGTGGCGAAGAGGCCAAATGGGCCTGACCAGGCTGCATTGTACCTGGCAGCCCCCGGGAAGCAGGCACAGCAGCTGCCAGCTGTGCCAACCCCAAAGCCTGTGCCTGGGCTGTACCTGGCTGTCGGGTGCCCACAACTTGCACAGGGATATGGGGTGGTGGTTGCTGGGAAGCTGACATCTTAGCAGGTCCTAACTGAGGAGGCTTGATCGGTGCTATAGGTGGTTTGGATTGGAGAGGGATGGGTGGCTTGGGAGTTGGGTCAGGTGGGAGGGACAAGGGTGAAGATTGAAGCATGGGTTGAACAACCAGGGTTTGGGCTTGCTGCTGGGACTGGGAAGGTGGGACCTGCTGAGTAGGTGGGACCTGTGGTGGCTGAGGGGCAGAGAGGGTTGTGGCTTGCTGCTGCTGCTGCTGCTGCTGCTGCTGTTGCTGCTGCTGCTGCTGCTGGGCCAACTGGAGGTGTGTGGCTGTGTGGAGTAGCTGCGATTGACGGTGCTGGAACTGTTGCTGGTGGTGGATGGCAATCTGCTGCTGGATCACCACTTGTTTCTGCTGGAGGTGGATCTGTTGCTGTTGCTGAATCAGGGAATGGGGCTGGATCTGTGTGTAGGTGGCTATAGGAACCACGCCCAGAATGGAACAAAAAGGAAGAAAAGCAGAAAATAATCATCATTATGGGAAGTAAAAATCGCCTTTCCAAACTGTACTGTTTTGGAATCACACAATGGATGGAAATCCAACCTAGAAGGTCCTAAGAGATCACCTCATTCATTCTCTTTCCTGAGTCAGACATTATCAGATATTACTGTCTCTAATCTTAAAGATCTCAAGAGAAGAACTCCCTTGTTCAATCATTTAATGACCTCCAGTAATTTCTTACATGTATCTAACTTTTATTTTCTTTGCTATACTTAATCCTGTTACTTTGAACTCAGTCAAGTAAGTTGGCCCATCTTCTATGTGATTGGACTCTGAGTTCCTCAAGGCTGAGTCCATGTTTTATTCATTTTTACATCCCTCTAATCCAGCACATTAGAAACACTTAACAGTCACTGAAAGAATAAATGTCCTTGGAAGTAAATATACCAACACCTTCCCATGAATGTTAATTTTTAAGACTCATCAACTTAGGTCCCCACCATGAGAATTCTCAGAGTCAGCAGCCGAAGGTTCTGACTTTACCCAGTTTCCACCACTGTAAATGAGTTGACAACCTCACTCCCCACCTCATACACCTACCAGATTGTCCAGAAAACATATCTGTTATGAAAGCACTCTGGAAACAGAACTGCTATAATATGTAAATACTAAGTTATTAGCACTACAACCGATAATTAACTTTTGTAAATAAATTATCCATATGTAGCAATAACTAAAGTGCTAGAAACAAGGAAGGTAAAATGAAGGTAAAACTAAACATTACCAAGTAAAAAGAAAAACATTACCAAGTAAGGTATACATACCTAACTATATCTAACCAGAGTCTGAAAGCAAGTATAAACTATTTGGGTTGTTATATTATTTATTCTTCTTCACCCTTATCATTGACACAGATGATCACAAGATGACTGTGTGTGTGTGTGTGTGTGTGTGTGTGTGTGTGTGTGTGTGTGTGTGTGTTTTACTTTAGAGAGAAAAGGAGAGAGATCGAAACATCAATGATGAGAGAGAACCATGGATCGGCTACCTCCTGCATGCCCCACACTGGGGTTCCAGCCCACCACCTGAGCATGTGCCTTGACTGGGAATGGAACTGTGACCTCCTGGTTCATAGGTCAATGCTCAAAAACTGAGCCACACCAGCCAGGCACAAGTTGACTATATTAAACCAGGGCTCTATTTGCTAGTCCTAAGTGCCCTAGGACACTTATGTCACCTCTGCTCTACATTGGGCCACCTAACCACCATCAAACACCGATGAGGAGTATTCATCCTTTATGCTAGATTCTAAGCTCCATGAAGACAGGGGATCTATTTTTCAAAGATGTAACTCTAGCCCTCCTAGAACATAGTACGCAATTGAATAAGAACTGGGTAAATGAATAGGTAGAGTAAGTAAACTAAAGAACTCAGGGTCTAAGGCAACTTGTAAAATGATTGCTGCCTGGTGGAAACAGAAAAGATCTGTTACCTGTCCTCCTGCCTCCCTGAACTAATATGATCAAGGGTGATGTGACAAGAAGCAAGAAAAAGGCAAAGAAAGAAATGTATTCTGAGCTTTCAAACAGTTCTGAGAATAATGACATGAGAAGTGACCGTTTACCTGAGCTAATAAGGGTCTGGCTGGGAGCAGGTGTAGCTGTCCGTGTCAGGTTCATGCCCACGTTCTGCTGACCAGTCCCATCCGCTTCTGCCTTCTTAGCTGCCGCACTTTCTGCCTCTGTCTGGCTGCCCTGACTCACAGTCACTGTTTGGGCTGCAGGCAAGGGCTGCACCACTCCTGTGCCCTTCCTGGGACAGCTCCCACCACCCCCCATTCCTGAGGTAGGCAACTGACCCAAGCCTCCAGGTGCCTGGCCACTTCCACCTGGACCCATGGACCCTGGGATGCTATTTCCACTGCTTCCACCAGCTTGACTAAGGTTGAGGGACTGGCCTGAGGCCCCAGGGGAAGCCTGAGCCACAGCTAGGGCCTGGCTGGAACCCTGGGAGAGGCTAGAGACAGGGGATGCTCCAGGAGGAATGGCCTTCTGAGTAGAGCCTTGCATTTGAGGGCCTTGGGCTGAGGCCTGTTGGTTCCTCACTGCCAAGTTCTGCACCTGAAAGATAAGAAGAACAAGACTGAGAAAAGGTGAACAAGAGGCACTAGGGTCAAAGATTTCAGTGACAGATTCAGAAGCAGCAAGGATCGCAGCAGATATTCCACAGCCCACCTCAGCTTGTATGCTCAATTTCCCAATTATATACATTAAAGGCCTTCCAGTCACCCAGGGAAAAACTCTTATATCAAATTTTATTTTCAGTCTCCTTTATTCAGTATCAAATGTATCACCAAGTACAGTCATTAATTCCGTCAAAGTGTCTCAGATTTTCCCTTTTCTTTCCAGTCATTCATTCATTCATTCATTCATTTAATATCTACCAAATACCTACTATGCTTCAGGTATTACACTGGGTACTGGGAATGCAGAGATGAAAGACACAATCCCTGCCATTAATGAGTCCTTTCTACTAGAAAAGAAAGACAAGAAAATCACCAATAACAATATGGCACTATGCACAGGTATGCACACAGTGCTGTGGGAGCCCAGAATGGGAAGATTAACTCAGAATACAAAGCTTAGGGAGGGCTTCCTAACACAGGTGATGCTTGACCTGAGGCCCAATCGGTAATAGTGAAGGTGAGGGTTTGAAAATATAGGTAACATTTGCAAGACCATTGAGCCAAGAAAAAGAATAGTATTTTTGGAAATTATAAATATTTCCTTTATGTTTGGAGTTAGAGGGAGTAGCAAGAAATGAAACCAGGAAAGTAGGCTGAGGGTAGTGGGGTAGAAAGGTGCCGGATCATGAAGGGCTTGGTGTGTTAAAATAAGGAGTCTGAACTTCAGTTTGGAAACAGAACGTGTATCTATCGTCTTCATTGTTGTATTCCCAGCACCTAGCACAGTTCCTGACACATAGTAAGTACTCCAAAATATGAATAGAGAGAAGGAATGATGAGTACCTAATTGATGACAGGAAGCTATTGGAGAAGATTAATCAGAATAAACATGATGAAATCTACAGTTGAAACCATTCTTTGAAACATTGCTGATGGAAATGGAAATGAAATCAGTACAACAACTTTGGAAAACAGTTTGGCATCATATCTTAAAATGAACATTCACACACCCTACACCCCAGGAATTCCTAAAGAGAAACCTTGCTGTGTACAGCTGGAGGCATGTATAAAAATGTTCACAGCAGCACTATTCATAGTAGTAAGTGCCTAGAACAACCCAAATGGCCATTATCAGAAGAGAAAATAAATGAACTATAATATATTCACACAATGGACTATTATATAGAAATCAAAATTAATAAAGTACAATGACATACAACAATATGGATAGATCATGACAATAAGCTATTAAGAAAGAATTCTCAAAGACTGCATACAGTACTTTATGGATTGAGAAGAGCACAAATACCTTTAAAATAAAATATGTATTTTTTATATATTCTATTTTTTATTTTTATATACAGAGGTAGGCAAAAGTAGGTTTACAGTTATGAGTATTAAAAAGTTTATTCTTGTATTATTTATTTGTTATATTATTTATTGTTATTATTGACCTACTTTTGCCCACCCCTGAGTGTGTGTGTGTGTGTGTGTGTGTGTGTGTGTGTGTGTGAAAGGCCTAAAAATATTGGCCATGTGTTCATCAATGTTGAAACTAGATGGTAAGTACGTAGAAATTCATATTTTTATATGTTTAAAATTTTCCATTATAAAAATGTCTTTATTATATGTAAATACAATAAAACCATATAAAAAGAGACACAACGGAAGGATGAATTTAGTAGGAATCAGAATGTCCTCACCCTGGGTAGAGGCAGGCAGTAGATGAAACTGGGATTGCTTATTGTATTTTAAAACTTACTGAGTAAATAAATAAAAGTGTACCTTGAATGGGCCATTAATGAGAGAATGTCATGAGCCAAGGATTATGATTGATCAAATTCTGCATATCAGAGGTACAATTTAAAATGCTAGTAACAACATATATTTTCTAAGAAAACTTGTTCTGACAGTAATGTGGAAGAGGATTAGAAGTAGAGAAAGGCTGAAGTCAAGAAGCCAATTAGAAAACTAGTACAGTAATTCAGGTGAAAAATGAAAAGAACCTGGAGTCAGGCAATAGGAGCAAAGAAGAAGAGATGATAGCTTTAGAGAATGGTTTACAAGAATCATCAGGATTGGGTGCTGGGGCACTTATTATCTGGCAATTAGACAGTTTTTTTTTTTTAGTCAGCTTCCTTTCCATGGCTTCTTAAAACATTGCTGCTTTCCCTATACATGAGAATCACTTCCCCTTTCCCCTCTCACCCACCCCTGTAGAAACAATAAAACCATTATATGAGCATGATGCTTCATCAATTCCACCACCAAATCTATACGTTCAGCTGCATAAGCACCCATCACTTACTTCTCCCTTCTCTCCTTCTATCCTTCCTACTTTTCAAGAAGCTTATATAATCAATTCTCTCCTGTCTCTTCAATTTCTCCTCTATTGGCTTCCTTCCATCAGCATCCTGGAACCTCACTTCCCCGCCCCCAGTTTCATCCTCTTTCCTGTTACTGCTAAACTCTTTTTTTTCTTTAAAAATATTTTTTATTGATTTCAGAAAGGAAGGGAGAGGGAGAGAGAGAGAGAGAGAAATACCAATGATGAGAATTATCAATCGGTGGCCTCCTGCATGCCCCACACTGAGGATTGAGCCCACAACCCAGGCATGTGCCCTGATCAGGAATTGAACCATGACCTCCTGGTTTATAGGTCGATGCTCAACCACTGAGCCACACCAGCCAGGCTACTGCTAAACTCTTAACTATTTACATTCACTGCAACTATTCCCACTATCCAGTCATTTGCCTCACGCCATGACTCCATTGAAATAGCTCCCATCCATGTCGGTGACTCCATCTTTCTTGCCATCTCTACTGCACTTGATGAAGGACTCTTGCCACTCTTGTTCCATTTTGATCCTTTGTCTTCATGACACACAATCCAGATTGTCTTGCCTCTCTGTCAGTCACTCTTCCCTACTCCCCTTTGCCAGCCATCACCCTTTACTCAACCGCGAACTGCTCTCTTTCCTAAGGGCTCATCCTAACCCTCAGGGCTCCATCTGAAAGGCTTTTCTCTTCTCAATCCATACCATACCCCTAAGAAATTTCAAACACTCTCTTGATTTCAATTATCTATATGCCTACTACTCTTGTATGTTTACCTCCAACTCAGAGCTCAGGCACCACATAAAAAACTGCTGATCCAGTATCTTCTTCTGGGTAGCAAGCACTTCTAAGCCAGCATTTCCAAAAGTGAACTTCACCCCAAATCCACTTCTCCAACATTCATCTCATAAATATCACTACCAGCCATCTCTCTGCAGTGCCATAGCTCATCTCAGGCCTCTCCATCAACTCTCTACCACTGAATGCGTTCTCCTTTTTTAAAAACCTCCTAAGTTTTTCTCAAATCTATTCATTTCTGTCCATCTCAACAACGACCACCTATGACGGGTGTTGCTCTCCCCATATTCACTCAAGCCATTTCCTTTTATCTTCCATAGAGGAGCCAACAGTCTTGCAAATTTAAAAAATCAAAAATCGAATCTCTCATGTCACTTCCATGTTTAAAATCCTTCCAACGCTTCCCACTGCCTTTCAGATAAAGCTCCAAATTCTAAACACAGCACCCAAGGTCCTGCAAGATGAGGTTTCTCCGACCATCTCCAACATCATCTCCACTCCTCTTTGCCAAACTCCAGGAACACAGGTCTTCTTTCAATTCCTCAAATATATAATACTCCTGCCCTCCTAGGATCTCTGGACATGAGATTCCTCTGCCTTCATTCCTTCAATGTCTTCACCTGACCAACTTCTACAGACCCAATTTAACTGTCACCTTCTCAGGGAGGCCTTCCCAAGGCTCCATTAACTCCCTTTCAAAGCACTCAGTACTTCCTAATGAAGCAATTATCAAACCATCCAGGTGATTATTTATTCAATGTCTGGTGCTTCAGTGATTTGTAATCTCTATCAGTCTAGGGATTATGACTTTCTTGGGCATTCAAGGCTAAGGAATGTCTGATATATAATAATGATAGTTTGTACTCTTAACACTCATTATGTCCAGACACTGTTCAAACACTTACACATATCAACTCATTTAGTCCCCACAATACACCCTGAGGTAGATACTTTATAATTTCATAGATGTTTTATATATGAAGAAACTGGCGAAAAGATGTTAGGTTATTTGAGTCATGAAGCTGGAATCTGAGCCAAACATCAGATTCACATTTTTAACCACTACTCTGTCCCTCCACATGTTGACACTCAACAAGCAGATGGATAAATGAAACCACTGGATAGGAAAGCAGTCTCAACCTCATCCTCTGATCCTACTGCTATTACCAGAGTCTAAAACAAAGGTCTTACCTTCTTACTAAATGACCCCAAGCATTTCTTTTTCTTTTTTCAAAATATATTTTTATTGATTTCAGAGAGGAAGGGAGAGGGAGAGAGATAGAACATCAATGATGAGAGAATCATCAATCGGCTGCCTCCTGCACACTCCCTACTGGAGATCAAGCCCAAAACCAGGGCATGGGCCCTTGACCGGAATGGAACCTGGGACCCTTCAGTCCGAAGACCAATGCTCTATCCACTGAGCCAAACCAGCTAGGGCGACCCCAATCATTTCTTAGTAGGTTCCCTAATTTCTCTTTCTTCTCCAGGCACATGTTTCTAGGTGATTCTTTCTAAAGTACTTGCCTTAGCCTATTAATCAGCTATTCAACAACCAGCAATGACCCCTCTTACCTATGGAGTTACTTGGCTTTCAGATTTCTCCCTAACATGACCTTTTCTACAATCAAGCATGTTGTCGCCTCTTAATCCACTCGCCCCAACTCATAGTCACATATGTGAAATTATACCTTTACACATTACTGTTCTGTCTCCAGGACAGTTTCCTTTTATTCCAAATCAAATCATACCCATCCTCTAAAAATTTGCTCAAGTATCCCAAGAGTCACTGAGAAGTAATGCAGCCACTCTTCTCTACTTGTGTCACTCAAAGTTAGAGCAATTTACTTCTGTACTTCTTGGTTCTCCAAGCTCTTTATAAAGACTTGACACATACTTATTTTCAGCCCTCCTAAGTTTCTAGTATACATCTGAGCACAGCAATAGAAAACTCAATATTTACTTGCTAACTGATAAACTAAAATAAAAATAAGTATTATGAGAGCCCAGTTTATATCCCGTTCATAAGAAGATAAAAATTCAGCTCAAAATATGTATACAACACTAACACTTTATATATATATATACACATTTGGGGGCAGGGAGATAAGGTATAGTGAGAAGCAACGGTGAGAAAGATTTCACTGGGACTACACTGTGAGCAGAAGCAGAGAGAGCTACAGGAACTCATAAAGAGAAGGAATCAAATATTCTGCCAGCAACTCAGCCATGTCAGCTTAACATCTATGGAACAGAGTTCCCTCAACCATCCCTCATCTTCCAGAGACAGTACTACAAGAAGAGAGAATTAAAGACTTCCTGAATAAACTGAGCCATCAAGGGCTAAAAAAAAAAAATGTTAAGGAAATCTGCCCTATGTTAAAAATAAGACTTCCCAGATCCAGAGGGCTATTTTCAGTCAAATCTATTTTCCTCCCTAATTCAAATAACTCAAAAGTTGTAAGGGATTCAAGTTCTATAGAAATTAAAGGCAAAAAAAAAACAAAAAAAAAACACCAAAAAAAAGAATCCTGAAAAGTGGTAACGAGGCAGAAGGGTGGGCCTTAGTCTGTGGTCGTTCCCTTCATCCTCCCCAGTGCCCGTCCACAGGTCAATGCTGCCACTGACCTGATCTGCATCTGCATGAACTCCCGGAGACTGAGCAGATGGCACCTCCTGCTGGACTGCAGCCACTGCCCCGTTAGGCATCAGGATGAGCTGGGAGGCTAGAGGCACATTCCGGCCCAGGGTCCGGTTTACCTGCAATAGGTTTCCCAGCTGTGGCTGGCAAGGAGAGGAGGAAGAGCAGAGGAAAGAGAACAAGAGGAAAAGAAGAAAGACAGAAGAAACGGAAGGGAAGGACCACAAGACAAAATAAACAGAAGATACGAAACAGCAAAGTCCTGCCCCTTTCCACACCAACCCAGGAGACCCTTATTCTCCATACGTGATGAATCATCCAGAAGAAAACCTGGAATGTGTACAAAACTACAGGTTGATAACAAAGAGTCAAACATGAAAGAAGTTGAGACAATGAGAATTTCAGAACAAGTCTTTATGTACAGTAAGTAGATAGGCTAAGAACACTTAGGATTTGTGTACTTGAGCCACAGGTCTAAAGATCGGAGTATCTGATGCTAATGTGGTCAAATGTTAAGGTGAGCATCTTCTAACTTGGGATCTCAATGTCATCTGCAGGCTACCTGTGAATACTGAGCATTGCTTCTAAAGGTGAGTAAGTAAGAAGTAGATCAGCTTGTCTTAAAACAGCTGGGTAACTATGGTTAAATAAAATAACTTTTGCTCAAGTCCTCGCCAGGGACAGGACATTATGTCCCTGAGACACTGGCAGTTGTGTCTGTGGCTTACCCGTAGATACATCTGAGCCTGGGACTGGTTGAGGGGTGGGGAGGTGGTGTTCCCCAGTAGCACAGATTGGGTCAAAGTGGTAGCACTGGGAGAGCTCACACTCTGGGATCGGCTGATGAGCTGGGCGGCCGACGTGGTGGCCAGATTGATCTGTGCGGTACAGAAAGGAACCAGGACTGAGGATTTAGGAGACATAAAAGGAAATGTAAATGACTGATAAATTCAGAGTGACCCGGTCAAGAACAGAATATCTCACTTTCATAGAGTCCGGGGAAATGAATACCTTCCTGTCCACAACTGTCATCCTGGCTACTCCAGGGTATTACCAAAGTAAACAAACTGGGCCTAATCACTAGCGTTACAGTTGAGAAGGCAAAGGAACGAAACGGAACAAATTTTACTTGTCGTTGAAGGGTCCAGAGATTAGTCCCTTCCCTTTACTATGTCTGCTTCTTCCCCAGGGTTTTCTTTCTCCTTTCTTAGACCTCCTCATTAAGACTCATGCAGATCCAAGTGGGTCACTGCCTTTTACAAACATGCTCTACATAAGGGCAGTAAATACCACCGACGGCTCAATGAACACTCCCAGATCAGCTGCACAAAGTTTAACCCAGAGACAAAGACCCAAAGAGAGAAGCCGCTCAGTGGGCAGAAGCAGCACTCACTGAGGCCTGGGTGGTGGCAGTCTGCTGCTGCGGGGTGCTGGTGTTTGGGGAGCTGGCTTGCCGACTGGCAGCAATGGTGGCCTGTTAGAGATGAAAGAAAATAAGAAAGAGCAGAGAAAACAAAGGAAAAGCCTGTGAATCTTCCAGTAATAAATCAGAGGCACAAAACATAACAGACATTTCCAATAAGAACTGAGAGACTATTGTGGAGCAAGGACAAGTATATTCACTATGCCCATAACCCTCACATTACCACATGCGGTAACCCAACAACTCCCACATAACCCTCCTGGGACAGCCAGGCAAGCTGTCCTCCTCCCACTTCCTTTTAGGTGGAAGAACCTTTGGTCAGGTCCCATCGTGAGTCACTGGTAAGCCTAACCCAGAGTTGTCCAATACAAATATAACGCGAGCCACATATGTAATTTTCTTGTATGCACATTTTTTAAAAGAAAAAAGAAATAGGCAAAGTACACTTTAATTTTTTATTGAATTTATTGGGGTGGCATTGGTTAATAAAATTATGTAGGTTTCAGGTGTACAATACTATAATATATCATCTTGTATGGTGTGCTCACCACCCCAAGTCAAGTCGCCTTCCATCACCATTTATCCTCCTATACCCTCTTCCACTTTATCTTATGTAAGCCAATATATCTCATCTCAACATGTAACCAATGTAAACTACTGAGATATTTTACTTTTTTTTCCTTACTAAGGCTTTGAAATCCAAATTCTCAGTGCACAGCCCCAATTTGAACTAGCCACATCTTGAGCAAAAGCTACACATGGCTGGTGACTACCACACTGCACAGTGCAGGTCTAGACATAGCCATCCTACTCCTGAAAGGGAGTTTCTCCACAGTTCCTACTGCAGCCCCTGAAGCTAAGATCCATTCACACTCCTACAGGAGGAACGTAGGAGGAGGAGACTATGTTTCCAGCTTGGCTTAGTGGAAGATGCAGTATGTCCCTACCCACCTGTAGCACCATCCCCTTCCCTCTTGGGCCAGCTGGCTGCTGACCTCTCACCTGCTGGACGGCAGCCAGGCTATGCAGCTGGGCATTGCTGAGCTGCTGCTGGAGCATGAACTGGTGGAAATACTGAGCCGCATTGGGCTGACGCTGCAGTGCCTGCAGAGCCTAGGAGGAGAAAGAGAAGATCAGCCCACTCAGACTCACTCCCAACTCCTATTCTACACAAATCGCTGTGATCCTGTGAAAGGGACTCGTGGCAAGTAGAGAAACAAAGGAAGATGGGAGTCTGGCTAAATCATCAACTTCTGATTTGTCCAATTTGTTTATATGAGAACCAGTAAGTTCATATAATCCTCAAAAAGTGGAGAAGCAATTAATTCTGCTATGCTCTATTCTATTCTTGTATATAAAGAAAAGTAAAGCCGTGTAACTCACATGAACGCTTATTTCCCAAAATGGAATCTGGAAATACATAATACAGCAAGAAAAAGCATTGGGACTAGACAGGATAAAAATCAATGAGATGTCAATTAATGTAAAGAGAAGAAAATAAAAGACCATATTCTAGGGGTACAATAGAGGTAATAGAGCCCTAAGGGGTTGAAAATGATGAAAAAATAAGAGTAAGTAGTAGCTTATGAAAGATTCTATCAGGTAAAATTTTCAAACAACTGGCATTTTCAAATAGCTACAGTATAATGCTAATGGGTGTTTATAAACATGATACTGGTAATTCAGTTTTAGTGTTAACTAATATTCTCTAATAATGAGAGCTATTCTTATGATGTGCATAGTTATTCTAGTAACCTAAATATTTAAGTAAAAGGCCCATTCCCAGATTTTTTAAAACATGGGATTTACTATTTGTCTAAAAATACAGCTTTAGTCTAAAGAGTTTTACACTCCATTACTCAGAATGATCTATACAAACGACTGAAGATTAAAAACCTGCCAATCCATGAAAAGAAATGGTTAGAATCTAGCTCTATGAACTGAATGGTATAAAAACAAAACAAAACAAAAAATAACACCTTAGTGTAAAGACTGAATCTCATTCTCTGTTTGCTTGCTCAGATTGTTATAAATTCCTAAGATTCTCGGGGCTAGCAGGGACCTTAGTCATCACCTAATTCAACTCCCCCAGGGTCCTGGAAAGCAACTAAGGGCAATTATCCTCCAGCACCCTTGCCTACCCCAAGCCAGTGCTCACAGATCTCAGCCCCTCAGAGTTGAGCCTCACCTGCACTGCTTGCCGTTCATACAGTGACATTTGAGCTATTTGGGGCCGAGAGCTGCCCCCAGAGCTGGAACTCCCATTGGTGGAGTTGGAGTTCTGCTCACTCTCAGTCTCCATGACAGTGGTCCAGGGTCCCCAAGGCTGGTGCTCTGACTCAAGACCTAGAGAAAAGGAGCAAAGGATTAATATTTACACCTGATCTCTAACTTTTATTTCATGTTATTTAAATTAGATATAAGAATCTTCCTCTTCTTCCATAATCCACAATTTCTAGTGTTATTACTACCAAATCTGCAATACACTCTTCCCCCCACACACACCCGCTTTTGAAGTTATGCGGTGTCTCAAAATAAACAACCTTTCCATATTCCGTCATAGCTGTCATTAACATAAAACAGCCAGAATGTAAGACAGCAGCACCTCATAATACTAAGGCCACTTTACATTCCCGTAACACTTTGTAATAATTTAAAATCTTCCCCGTTAAAACTTATAGCTATCTCATTTTTATCTGCATCTGCTTAAAACTTATGCTTATCTCATTCTTATCAGCATCATCTTAATAACCGAGAAGCCGCTAGGTGCCTCCTCTCACAGGGCCAGGCTCTCTCTTCACATACATTCTCTCTCCCAGTGCCGTTAGGTAAACAATCACATCCCCACCTGACAACTGTGGAAATGAGGTTTTCTGAAGAGAAAGAAGTTGCCCTAGTGAGTGTGGAGTCTTTACACTAGCACATGCTTCTTCTTCAAAACCAGAAAAACGTCTGTGATTAAGGCAGTGTCATTCGGTTTGAGTACTCATTGTCCTCCTTTTATGGAGGGGGCCTAAGATACAGATATGCTAAATACATCACGAAAGTCATAAAACTAGGAGGTAGGAGAGCTAGGCTACAGCCCAGAGAGCCCAAATGGCCGCCTGGTTCCAGCTCAGGTTACTAATAACACTTGCCCTTCTTATACCTCAGTTTCCCCATTTGCAAAACTTCACAACTGAATGTAACATGTCATTTTAACAAATGACTCCCAGGTACTGAACATTAAATAGACAGTAATGAAAATCATTAAGAGAGTAAGATTTAATTTTTTTTTAGTCTACTAAAGTGATCACAATCCACCCTCTGGGGTGTACACTCACATTCACTGGTAAAAACCAGGCAAAAAAATAAAAAAGAAACAAGAAGACATGTATACCTCCAAAGCAGCACTAAATGACAAGGTTTGTCTTTGTTCATTCTTATTTTTTCTCTTTTGTTAAACCTGGACACTATACTCTGTACTTCTGAGGAACAGGGGCCACTAGAAATATTAGGTCAGCAGAGCACTCTTTGGTTTACAAATGTAAACATCAAACCAGGATTTGTGCTAAGGGCTGTCAACAGTTTTATTATGATGGGTTTATCTTAATGACTGCCTCCAAAACAGGCAAACAAAGTAAATAAAATCAACCCGCTTGGCCTACTAAACAGAGTTGGGGAGATTTCTTGGTATTCCATTCCCGATATTACCTGATCGCGTCAGTATCCCCCAAGAACTAGCATCTCTTCGGTTTCATTTAGGAATAGCAAACGTCACTGAAAACATGAGTACAACCCAGGACGAATACAGGAGAAATCATATCAGCTTCAACTCCAGTCTATCTTCTCCCCACATCTTTTGCCAAAATATCAAAGCACTAAACAGATACAGACCCATGAATCCTCATTATCAGCATGTGAAGAAAAAAAGTGGGTAAGGATTAGAGGCAGCAGGCACAGTTGTATCTATCACGGGACTCAGTTCACTGGACTCGGAGACATGAGACCCCTTGACTAGCTGGGGGGGGGACACTAATTCCTATGTTCATAGGTGAAAATGCTAATAAACCGTACGATCGATCCCTCACTCCCCCCAGAATACAATCCTTCCTATTAATTTCTTCCGATTGTGACATGACTACAGTATAGAGATGGAAAGGGACGGGCTTTGAAGTCTTTAATAAAAATCAAGGGCAGTTAGTTATCAAAACCGGGAGTCCTGGATCCCAGGCACATAAATCTAGTCGTTCAGTGATCAATGTTGGAATTGTAAGACAGAAGCACAGAAAAGAAAAACGACAAAAAGTTTGGGCGGCACGGTGAATTTTTAAGTTTTCAGAATTAAAGGGGGAGAAAGAGTGAGACGCTGATCATCAGAGGTCCCCAGAACAGCTAGCCCACGGTCACCCTGAAAGGTAGTCAGTCTGTGGGTGTGATGGGTGGGGTGTGATGGGTGGGGTGGGTAGGAGCACAGATCCCCCGGGCGAGGGGCTAGGAAAGGGAACTGACGTGGACCCGGTGCAGGGCCGACGGACCAGGAGTTACCTGAAGGGAATCGGGGTCCCGAAGCATGAAACTGTCGTGCAGAAAGGCTGGGGCGCGGGACGGGGTGGCGGGAGAAGGGGGTGGTCCGGGGAAGACCGTGCCAAACAAATGGGAGTGACCTGGAGAACAGGGAGAGGAGACGCCCGGGGTCCTCGCCGGTACAGAGAACCCTGATGACAAGGAGGCTCCGAAGAGAAATCGAACGCAGCGGGGCAGGGGGCAGACAGAGCGGCCGCGGAGCGCACCGGCCCGGGTGAGCGGGGAGACGTGCTGACGATCGCGGGGCGCCGGGCAGGGGCCGGAGGCTGCGGGACCCCGCGCACCCTGAGAAGCGGGGAGCTAACTAGACAGCGAGCGTGCTCGGAGGGGAGACCCGAAGTCCGAGGAGGAGAAATGAATGGGAGCGCGAGCGGTCAGAAGCAACGAGGGTGCCGGACAGACAGCATCCCGCACGGCGACGGGAGCAGCAGAAAGGCGAGGACGGGCAGAGTCGGAGGACCGAGCCGGGCGCTGGAGGTGAGGCCGGGGTGGGGGGGCCGGGGTGGACGGGGGAGGTACCTGGGGCGACACACGCCCGCGGCGGGGCGGCCGGAGCAGCCTCCCCGCGCCGCCCAGCCCCCAGGGTCCGCCCCTCCCCAGCCCGCGGGCGCCGGGTTACCTTCGCGCCTGGCTCCGCACCCGAGGGCTCCCGGGGGGCGTCCACCTCATGGGCAGGGGACCCCAGGCTGGGCGGGGGGCTCGTCGGCCTCGGCGGCGGGCTCCCCTCGCCTCCTCCCCTTCCTGGAGGGGCGGGGGCGCCGAGGGCGGGGTGGGAGGCGCCCGGCGCGGCCGCAGCACCCCGCCCCTCCCGCCGCTCCGGGTCCGGCCCGGCCGCGGGCTGCCAGGCCTCCGGGACGCGCTCCGGGCCTGTCACTTCCTGCCGGGCCGAGAGGCGGGGGCGGCCGGCCGGGGGCTGCGGGCCGGGCTGGAGGAGGGGGCTGGCGGGGAGGTGCTTCCGGGGCAGTGGACCCCTCCCCCGGCCCCCCTCCCCTCGGCGCCCTCCTCCCCCTCCCTCCGCGGGTCCCTCGTTTCCTGCCGGCGCCCGTTGCCATGGCGACGGCGCTCCCGGGCCTCCGCGCTGCCGGCCCGGGGTGGTGTTTTCCCCCCTCGTTCGCCGTCCCTTTCTCCTCTTTTTTTTTTTTTTTTTTTCCTCCTTCTTTCTCTCCGAGTGCGGCTCCGCGGACGGAGGGGCGAGACTGAGCGAGTGCTGGCCTCTAGTGGGGAAGGCACCTCTCCGAGAAACGGGGGGAGATGGAGAAGGGAGGGAAGTGACGTGGAGAAAGGGGAACATCAGGGATTTTCCTGGAGCGTCTGGGAGTAGGGGGTGGAAAGAAAGAATCAAAGGGACCAACAGGCAGCGGGGGAGGAAGGGCAGGCAGCGACCCCGGGGCAGCGATGGGCCGGGGAAGGAGCGAGCAGGAAAGAACAGCCAGGGCCGAGCAGGAGGAGGGAGCGTGCCGATGGCCGCATCGCTCACCTCAACTCGGACGGAGAAGGCGGGAAAGGACGCTCCCCGAGGCCGGGGGCCCTCGCTTCCAAGCCGCCTCCCCACACAACGGGCTGCGCCTGGCACGCTCAAGTCTGTCCTCCCGGGGCTGTGTGTCCTCGCGCGGTCTTAGTTCGAAATGTGGCTGTGAAAGAGGAGGGAAACCGGGGAGAAGGCCGGGGCGCGAAGGGTAGACAATGGGGCTGGACCTGGGAGCGCCTACCCGGCGGTTCTCAACCTTCCTACTGCCGCGACCCTGTCATACAGTTCCTCATGGTGTGGGGACCCCCAATTTCATTGTTACCAATGGAACATAATTAAAGCATAGTGATGAACCACAAAAACAATATGTAATTAGATATGTGTTTTCCGATGGTCTTAGGCGACCCGGTGAAAAGGGTCGTTGGACCCCCCAAAGGGGTCGCGACCCCCAGGTGGAGAACCGCTGAAGCATTTGCTCAGGCGGTAGCCTTCGTCGTGTATGCGTTTTTTATTCTTTTAAACTTTGAGCGCTTGGCAAGTATCCATAGGGCACTTGCGGTGTGCCACTCGCTGCTTTGGAAGCTCGGGTTACACCAGCGCGCGGCGCACCGATCATCGCCCCCGTTAACCTTCACCGAAGGGGCCGGGGGACACCTTGCGGCTTAGTAACGAGGGGTGATGCTTCCTCGGCTGTTGGCATAGTCCACTCATTATTTTTAACCTCATAGCTTGTTCTCACCTCTGCGCTATTCGGTTGTTTTCTTTGTCAACCCACTCTTTATTCTCGCCTTTAAAAGCCAAGGCGTGATTTGTTTTCACAGAAGATAGAGAAGTGTTCCCTTTGTCTATAGGTTAGATCTGCATTGAGAGAGGGGTGTGTAGACTCTTAATGGGCAGGAGCCAGGTTTGTGCCAGAGAAGAACCTCTGCCAGGCTTCAAGGAACCAGTCCGACAAGGATGCGAGGGGAGAAAGGAGAGGGCAGCCAAAGGCTGGAAAAGGGCAGGCCTGAGGTGTAGGGGGGTGAAAGGGTATGTTGCCAGGGTGAATGGCAGGCTTTGGCTGGGGATGAATTGAAAAAGATTCTGGCGGAGAATTAGTGGTGAAAACTAGGTAAAGCATTCGTCATTTAGATTTGTGGCCTGTCAAAGTTGAAAGCTTCCTTGTGGAGGCTTAGGATGGATATACTGAGCCCACGCTGAATATCCGAGCACCAAGAACAAGTTGTACCTATAGATAACTTTCCGATTATGTGATATGCAGGCCAAGAAACATTACTCATGTGTTTTCATGGGTTCCGTGGGAGAATTATCACCAAGTGTCTACCGAAGGCCTGTAATACATCTCAAGGATAAGGAGTCCTGATGCCACCAGTGTCTTTTTTCCCAATCGCCTATGGAACTTGCATACCTAATGGGGACCTGGCCATTTCAGCCCCATTAGATATGGAGCAGAACCCACTACCAATTCATTTAGTCACATCCCACCTCTAAGGATTTTTTTTTTTTAATTTCCTGAATCTTCGGCCCCTACATCTACTAAAAGTTACGAATTTAGATGCTGTCAGGTGATAAGTTAGTGATGAAGTATAATTGTGTTCACTGACTGATATAAATCTCGGCTAGGGATACTCTGTCACAGAGCATGCCTTATTAATTATGAGCCAGTGGTTTAACTTATGTAGAGGCTTTACTCTGTATTTTGCCGTAATTCTTTTCAAGTTCATTATTCTCCAGGACACAGGAGTCTTCCTGGGTCATAGGTTTAAGCAATTTCCCAAAGAAAAATTCAGCATGAAAAAGAAATGTATCCAACAGTAAAGTGAAGTAGTAGAAAACCTCCATCCTTAAGACAGTCGTCGTCGTGGGCAGAATTAGCTGGGAAACAGGTACGGAATTGCTTCTCCACCTAAATGGAACAAAACAATTTGTGATTCCTAGAAAATGCACAACTGGCTTTTTTTTATATTTTTTCTAAACTTTCTCATTTTCATTTAAAGATCCTGCTGGAATTAGTCTTTTCTTTTTCAAACCAAATAGTTCCTGTGAATGGAGGCTAAATAATTTCTTTACTCTGCATAACACTGAAAGTCATTAGCCTAAATAGGTGAAAAGGAAATGCATTCTATCTGGTGAGTGGAAATCGAACCCTCCCCCTGCAAACTTATCTAAATAAGGAAAAATCAGGATTTGAAAGGAAATTAACTGGTTAGAAGCAACTAAACCAAATAGAATAGAAAATAGGCTAATGTAATTTTGTATATCAACTGAGCATTGAATGTTTCAAGCTTCTCTTTTCAGCCCAGCATTGTGCAATGAATTGTGAAGGAAGAGGTGCTCCTTAACCCTAGAGGTATTAGTATCCTTGGAATGTGTCTGTTTACAAGTAACCAAGCAAGTAAACCTGGGTGATCACATTTTTATGCAAATGTGGGTAGGATGAAGTAGGAAGGGGGTGGGGGGAGAAATCCAAACCTTTACTCTAACCAGCAGCAATGTGGGATATAAACCATCATGCATGTCCCGCCCCATCCCACCACAATTCTATATGCCACTTTAACGTCCAGTTGGGAGATGAAATGAAGATAATGGGGATTTACAGACTCTTAGATATTTAAAGCAAAAAAGAACTTTAAAATTATCCAAGCCCCTTAATTTTGAGTGGAGAAAATTGAAGACTAAAAGATGAATGTAGAAGGGGAACATTTTAGAATACTTGGCAAATAGATGTCCAAAAATATTTGTTAATTAAATTAATTTCCTAGATGCTCTCCTTTCTTTCAGCTGAAAAAAAAGAAGAAAAAAGGAATTAAAACATATAAGGAGACTTCTCATTCCTCACCACTAATACCCATGATGGTGTTCAGGACATGCCCCAAATATACCTCCTTCATATATTAGTTATTTAAACTGAAGAAGTTTGAGAAAAAGGTAGAAACAGGAAAGTCACTCTGACTCCTTCCTTCTTTCTTCTTTCCTAAGCCAGGTCAAAAAACCCTCTGAGAGGTTCCCCTGAAGGAATGGAGGATCCTTATCTCTGAAGACAAAAGAACATCAAGAGGAATCCACTTACCTCATTCTCCTTAACTTATGATATTCCTTCATGACTATGCACACTTCATCCAACCCAGCATAAAAATACACCAGTCTAGCCTGACCGGCTTGGCTCAGGGTTGAGTGACCTATGAACCAGGAGGACATGGTTCGAATCCAGGTCAGGGCACATGCCCCGGTTGTGGCCTGGACCCCTAGTGTGGGGCATGCAGGAGGCAGACGATCAATGATTCTCTCTCATCATTGATGTTTCTATTCCCTGCTCCCTTCCTCTCTGAAATCAATAAAAATAGATATTTTAAAAAATACACCAATCTAACTTGCTTTGGTTCTTCATTTCTTCATGAAGGTTCTCTTGTGTTACATACAACTTAAATAAGTTTTGTTGAAATAAATTTGTAGGCCCAAGATGGAGCCACTCCTGCCTAGAGTTCCCGGCCAGCAAACTGAAACTTGCATAACGTTCATGTCCCTGCAAATGTTCCACTTGACCAGAAACAGTCTATCCAGTCGGCCAGTCCCCAAATGCCAGGCCAACTCTGGGCTGTATATTACCACCTTTTTCGTTGTTCTTTATCCTACAAAGCTTCCTGCCTTGCACTCTCCTAATGGTGACTGTCCACTTCATAAAGTGTTAAATAAAGTTTGTCACCTAAATTGTCTCCTTCAGTCAATTCTTTTTGTTAGTGTTTTGTTAATCCTCACCCGAGGATATTTTTACATTAATTTTTAGAAAGAGTGGAAGAAAGAGGGAAAGAGAGAAACATCGATGTGAGAGGAACACATGGATTGGTTGTCTCCTGCACCAACCCTGCCAGGGCCTGGGCTGGGGAGGAGCCTGCCCTTGACCAGAATCAAACTCAGGACCCTTTGATCCACAGGCTGATGCTCTATCCACTGAGCCAAACCAGCTAGGGCTCCTGTAGTCATTCTTTTAATAATTTGTATGCTTTTCTCCTGTTAATCTGTCTTTGTCAGATTAATTTTCAGACTCAGCCAGGGACCCTAAGGGTTGAGGAGTGCTTTTTCCTTCCCTACACCCACCATACTCCCTTTCTTTTTTTTTTTTTTTTTTTATATATTTTATTGATTTTTTACAGAGAGGAAGGGAGAGAGATAGAGAGTTAGAAACATCGATGAGAGAGAAACATCGATCAGCTGCCTCCTGCACATCTCCTACTGGGGATATGCCCGCAACCCAGGTACATGCCCTTGACCGGAATCGAACCTGGGACCTTTCAGTCCGCAGGCTGACGCTCTATCCACTGAGCCAAACCGGTTTCGGCAATACTCCCTTTCTTTAGAAC